CAAAATAAATCTGATAGGGTAAGGAAAAGATTAAAATACCCCTCTTAAATCCGGGTAACTTTCCATAAATGGACAGCCCGACTTCAAATAGACATATCTCCCTCATACGAGCTCGAAATTTAGCAAACTGGGTGGCGTTGGAAAGAGGATTCCAAGAAATTTAATTTTATATCTTATAGACCACCTAACTCATCTTGTACTGAAAGTTATAGCCATTTGAAGTTGACTCAAAACTCATACTTAGCATAACTTACCAAAATTTCCAAATTTACTCTTTCCAAAAATAGTTCTTTCTAATTCTTGTTCTTTCTAGGGCGGGATGTTACAATATCTCCCTCTTGGGAACATTCATGCTCGAATGAGATCGCTTTAAGTAGACTAAGGGTGTAACATCTAACATTCATCTCAAACACCCAACATGTAATAAATAACACCGCAAGTCAACTTAAATAAATGCCAAGAAAAGGACTAGTACCTTAATTTGGAATTTCTTCGGACTCAAAGAGATGTGGGTATCTCTTCTTTATGTCCTCCTAAGCTTCCCAAGTAGCTTCCACAACAAATTGATTCCTCCATAGAACCTTGACTGACGCTACCTCATTGGTTCTCAACTTTCAAACATGGCGATCTAGAATCTGAATAAGAATCTCCTCATAAGATAAGTTATCCTTAATACCAATATCTTCAGTAGGTATGCTAAGTGAAGGATCACCCATATACTTCTTCAACATTGAAATGTGGCATACCGGATGGACCACTGCTAACTCTTGCGGTAGCTCCAACTCATAAGCCACGTTACCGACCCTCTTGGATATCTTGTAAGGACCAATACGTCGTGGACTAAGTTTCCCCTTCTTTCCAAATCTCATAACACCCTTCATGGGTGAAACCTTCAAATAAAACTAATCATCTACTTCAAACTCTAAGTATCTTCTCCTAACATCTGTATAGGATTTCTGACGACTCTGTGTTGTTTTCAATCTCTCTTGAATAAGCTTCACTTTCTTCATAGCTTGATGAACTAACTCTGTTCCTATCAACCCACTTTAATAACCTTCACTTTTCCCATAGCTTGATGAACTAAGTTTGGTCCTATCAACCCAGCTTCACCAACCTCAAACCATCTAATAGGAGATCTACATCTTCTCCCGTAAAAAGCTTCATAAGGAGCAATCTAGATACTAATGATAACTATTGTTGTAAGAAAACTCTATGAGAGGTAGGTGATCATCCTAACTACCTTTGATATCAATCAAAAAAGCCCTAAACATATCTTCTTAAGTCGGAATAGTGCGCTAATTCCCAAACCTTTCTGGAATGACTTCAAAAATTGCACGATGAATTGCATACCTCTATCTGAAATGATGGACACCAAAACTCCATGAATTCTGACTACCTCTTGAATATATAACTTAGCATAATCGTCTGCTGAATGGGTAGTTTTTACCACTAAGAAATGGGCTGATTTATTCATTCAATTTACAATCACCCAAATCGAATCATGCTGCCTGCGAGACTATGGTAAACATGTAATGAAATCTATATTGATCATCTCCCACTTCCATTGTGGAATATCTATATTATGAGCCATACCACTAGGCCTCTGTTACTCTACATTGACTTGTTGGCAATTCAGACACTTGGCAACGAACTTTGCAATACCCTTCTTCATGATATTCCACCAATAGACTTCTCTCAAGTTGCGATACATCTTTGTGTAACCCGGATAGATAAAATATCTAGAGTTATGAGCTTCCTCCATGATCCTTTCTTGGAGTTCATCAACGCTTGGTACACACAATCTACCTTCATACCTCAATACACCATTTCCCCCATGTTCAAAAGGCATCACTTTTTGCTTATTAATATTTGCCTTTAATTCAAGCAAAATACGATCTTTGTCTTATTTCTCTTTCACTTCTGACACTAGCGACGATTTGGCCCCATTCATCACCACCACTCCTCCTTCATTGGAATCTATTAAACGAACTCCCAATTGCATAAGTTTGTGCTCATATTTAGCTAACTCTTTCTTGTCTTCCTTAACATGGGCAGTACTACTTATAGACAATCTGCTCAAGGCATCAGTAGCGACATTAGCCTTACTCGGGTGATAGAGAACACTCATGTCATAATCCTTGATTAACTCCAACCACCTCCTCTGTCTGAGATTAAGCTCTTTCTAACTAAAAACGTACTGAAGAATCTTGTGATCGGTGAACACATCCACATGAACACCATAAAGATAGTGATGCCATATTTTCAAAGTGAGTATTACCGCAGCCAACTCTAGGTCATGGGTTGGGTAATTCATCTGGTGAATCTTAAGTTGTCTGGAGGCATAAGCTATAACCTTGCTATTATGCATTAACACACAACCCAATCTGACTCTGTACATATCACAATATACCACAAAACCTTGTGTACCTTCTGGTAAAGTCAATATTGGGGCAGTAGTCAACCATTTTTTCAATTCCTGAAAGCTTTTATCACAAGCTTCAGACCATTTAAAATTAATTGTTTTCTGAGTCAACTTAATCAATGGGGATGAAATAGATGAAAACCATCTTTCTTTCTCATAAATAAGACTAGAGCCCCCCAAGGTGAGACACTTGGTCGAATAAAATCATTCTCAATGAGATCTTTCAACTGCTCTTTTAATTCGTTCAATTCTGCTGGTGCCAATCTATATGTTGGAATAGAGATAGGACGAGTATAAGGAAGAATATCTATACTGAAGTTTATTTCTCTCTCAGAAGAGACTGTGGGAAGATCGTCTGAAAAGACCTCTGGAAACTCTCTAACAACTGGAACTGACTTAATAGGTGGTGTCTCAACACTAGTCATTAACTCGGACTAAGTGATAGACACAACCCTTGGAAACTAACTTTCTCACCTTAAGGTAAGAAATAAAACGACCCTTAGGCACTGCTGCACTACTCATCCACTCAATAACTGGCTCATTAGTAAACTGGAACTTCACTACTCGAGTTCTACAAACAATGGAGGCATAACAGGCATGAAGCCCATCCATACCTAGAATAACATCAAAATCTACCATGTCTAACTCGACTAAGTCAACCATGGTGATCTTGTGATTGATGGAAATGGTACAATCATAGTAGACTCTCTCAGCTAGAATACACTCACCAACAGGTGTAGAAACACTGAAGGGCTCAACAAGTTTCTCAGGAAGAACATCAAAATTCATCGAAACATAAGGAGTCACAAAATGATAAACTCGCTCCTGGATCTACCAAAGCATAAATGTTTTGTATCTAATAATTGCAGTAAATAAGCTTGGAATGTAGTTGATGGAGATGAGAGCTGAAATTATGTAGAAGGAGCCACCTACGGAGTGATCGACGGATCGTAAGTCCTTTGACGGACCGTCGTTGGGCAGGCGTAGATAGAGCATCAGGGAATTCTGACTAAGTGTGGAACTACGAAGCAACCGACGGACCGTAGGTCGACCCACGGGTCGTCCTGCACATCCATCGATGGATTCAGAGAGTTGATGTTTCAATACCTGATGAAAAGTCCTAAGTATGGAGCCACGGAAGGGGACCTACGGTTCATAAGTCGAGTCGTCAACTAAAGTCGCGTTCCAGACAACTTATTTCCTTATTTTGTTTACTTTTTATTTAGAACTTGTTTTCTATAAATAGGAGTTATAAACCTCATTTTTTAGGGTTAGACATTATTGCAAACTCTTAGTTTTGGTGTTTTGGGAATTAACTTGTAAACTTTAGCAATTTGATTTCCGGATTTCGTTTTATAAGATTTTCACTTTGCAATTCAATTGAAGATTTCAGGTTTCATCTATTCTAATTATAAGTTCATGAATTCATTCTTCTTAAGCATGAATTGTGAACTCTCAAGCATGAGTAGCTAAATCCACAACTAGGGTTGTAGGAACCATGAGCAATTAACAAAGTATGAATAATAACTAAGTAATTTTTGGGTAGTGTAGATGGATGTATTGTTAATTCTTTTGTTTATAAGTCTTTTTAACGATTGCGAACGTTAGAACTCGCCTCGTTCCTACTTGCTGGACCAAAGGGGTAATGAATGAGAAAATAAGTAACAACAGAGATTTAGTGGATGCTATCTAATAGTCTAATGTCAATTGGTGCAAGGGTGAAAACTAAGCCATACATTGATGTGATGTCTAATCTGGGGTAAAGGTAAGGGTTAGTAAGGCATACATACGTAGCCGGACCAAGATGCGAGGTTAAATTCCCTATTTGGAAGACCAATCACTTAGGGATACCTAACTTACCAACTTTACATTTAAAACACTAGGAAATGATTACTATTATTAGGATTACTGCATTAAGAGATTATGGGGAACACATATGCCCTAGTTTCTCTTTCATATTGATAACTCAAACTGATAATCTTGCTTACTTGTTACTAAATCAACAATTTGTTACTGCTTACAAAAATCCCCCTTTTTATTTACTTGTCTCGGAAATAGTTTGACTAAACGGATATAATATTAAGTTAAGTTTAAGTTTGAACCATATTTCTCGTGGGATCGACCCCAACCTACAATTTGGGTTCTTTAATTGATAACGATCGTTTATATTTCTTTAGGGAGGTGTAATTTGAGCATATCAAATTTTGGCACCGCTGCCGGGGAATACGACTTTTAGATTAAGTTTAACTACATTATTGAACTTTAGTCAAGTATTTCCTGATTTTACATTTTCTTTTGTTTTTGTTTTTGTTTTCTACAAGTATCTACTTTAGTGTATGCCAAGTACACAGAGTCGAGGCAAACCACTGACCCCCTACAATCCAGAGTTGAGAAAAACTTTGATAAAAATGAATAATCAAGGGGTCCAAATCAATCCAATCAGAGAGAATCTAGGTGATGGAGTTAAATTGCAGCCTCCTTGGTTTTTAATGTGAATGCTCAAGTTCATGGTGGTAATCTAATTGGAGATGCAGAAAGGGTGCATAATCCGCCAACACCAAGGTTGCGTGATAACTACATGGCTGACTTCAATACAGCTGAATCAGAAGGGCCCATTGTTCTTCCTCCTCTACCACCAGGGGATACATTTGTGGTGACCAACAGTCTTATGTAGATGTTTACAACGAGAAGGTTGTTTTCTGGTCTAGCTTCAGAAGATCTGCATAGTCACATGGCTAAATTGAGAATTGTCTGTAAGAGTTGCCTAAGGCGACCGGAGTTGGATATGGATGTCATAGGTTTGAGAGTCTTCCTTCTATCATTAACCGGTGATTCTGCGGTGTGGTTTGCTGAGCTTCTATATAATTCAATTCATACATAGAACCAATTGCATCGAGTGTTCATGGCAAAGTATTTCCTAGTGTCTAAGAAGTTAAACACAAGGAAAAGTTGAATAATTTTGTGGCTCTACCTGGAGAGTCTATGAGCAGTTCATGGGATAGGTTCACTGTGTTCATCAGAAGTGTTCCGAATCACCGTATAGATGATGAGTCATTGAAGGAGTATTTCTACAGAGGGCAAGATGAAAATGGAAAATCTGTTCTAGTTACTATTGCTGAAGGATCATATGGTGAGTGCACTTTTGAGGAGATCGCTGAGAAACTGGAGAAGATTTCCCAAAATAATAAGGCATGGAGCATTAGAAAAGCTAATACTGGAAGAAGAACATTCGTCGTTCAAGCTGCACTAGATCAATCTATTGATGACATTCGTGAGGAGATAGCTCAGATGAGGACAAAACTTGGGTTGGTATTGAAGCATGTGAGCGGAAATGCAGAAAAGGTGAATATGGTAAATTACCTAACTAGAACTCCACCACCACCAATTGTGGAATTCTAATATGAGGAGGATGCGTATTTGGTAAATGATCAGACGAGGGGTTTCCAAGCCAATGTCCAATGTTCCAACTCGGATAATTGGCACCAGGGTTAAGGAAACCAAGGTCGGAACTATGGAAACTACAATCGAGAGGGAAACTATGTCTGGAATAAGAGCTACTATCATGATAACGACTACAATCGGAACAACTATGGAAACAAAAATAAGAGAGTTAGGCCCTACGTTCCACCTGGGAATAGGGAATTTGGTAATACAGAGGATGGGGGTAGTATGTCACACATTAAGGATATGATGCAAAAGATGATTAAGAGGTTTGATGCAACTGATGAGAATGTGAAAGAGATGCAAAATGACTTGTCTGGAATCAGTCAAAAAGTTGATACCCATGCAGTGTCGATCAAGCAACTTCAACAGCAGTTTAGTCAGTTGTCCACTACTGTGAACCCACGTAAGCCTGGCACACTTCCTAGCAACACCATCCAGAATCCGAAGAATGATGGGCATTGTACGGCTGTCACTACCTGAGGAGGTAAACAGACCATTGATCCCCCTATGTTGTTTGAGGTTGAAATTGTGGTAGAAAGAAATGAAGATGAGACTGAGGTTCCTGGAGAGTCTAAAAATGCTACAGGGAAGGAAGCCGAGGTGACCCAAAAAGTTGTTCTCATGCTTAGACCTCCACCTCTATTCCCACAACGATAGGTGAAGAAGACAGAAGAAGGAAAATACCCCAAGTTCATAACTATGTTGAAACAATTTTCCATCAATGTTCCGTTGATAGAAGCTTTGGAGAAAATGCCTGGGTATGCGAAATTTATGAAAGATTTGGTGACCAAGAAGAAGGCTATCAGTTTTGAAAATGATGAGAGGTTGTAATATTGCAGTGCTATTGCTACTAGGGCACTTGTGCAAAAGAAAGAGGATCCTGGAGCTTTCACTATTCCTTGTACCATCGGTTTGTTGCACTTTGAGAAGGCTTTGTGTGATTTGGGTGCCATCATTAATTTGATGTCATTGTCGATCTACAAGAAGTTGGGTTTAGGGGCTCCAAAACGGATTGCGATGCGTCTACTTATGGCCGATAGAACTATGAAGAAGCTCATTGGTGTTCTCCAAGATGTGTTTGTTAAAGTGGAGTCGTTCATTTTTTTGGCGGATTTTGTGAGACTTGATTGTGAGGTTGATTTTGAGATTCCCATCATCCTAGGGATACCATTCCTTACTACTGGGCGTGCCTTAATCGATATGGAGAGAAGGTAGATGAAGTTCTGACTGAATAATAAGAAGGTAACTTTTAATATATGTATGTTTATGAAGCAGGAAAGCGATCTCAAGACGGTATCAATGGTGAATCATATTGGGGAGTTAGATTCTGAAGTGTCTATGGAGGAGAGGTAGGGTGTTGATGCACTAGCAGCGCTAATGATAAATTTTGATGGTGATGGTATTGAAGACTATGATGAATTAGTTACCGCACTTGATAGACTTGAATTTCGTTCCATACCAAAAATATTGGAGTTAGATATGAAGAATCGCGACTCTCCACCTTCAAAACCGTCTGTGGAAGAGCCTCCAAAATTGGAGCTCAAGGCTCCACCGTCTCATTTGAGGTACGTATTCTTGGGGAAAGATTGACACTTTACCGGTAATCATTGCTGCTGATTTGAGTAGGGAACAAGTAGAGGCATTGGTTTCTATGTTGAAGAGGTTTAAGCGGGCTATTGGATGGACTATTGCAGACAATATTGAGATTCCTCCTGGCATTTGTTCTCATAAAATCCAACTCGTGTCGGACAGCAAGCCAAGGATTGAGCACCAAATGAGACTTAATCCACCTATGTAAGAGGTAGTCAAAAATGAAATCATCAAATGGTAGTTCTGGGTCATCAGATTTCTTAGAAGGGTATTAAGGTTGATAGAGCTAAAGTTGAGGTAATAGAAAAGCTTACACCACCCATCTCTGTTAAAGGTGTTAGAAGTTTTCTTGGGCATGTAGGTTTTTATCAGAGGTTTATCAAAGATTTCTGTAAAATTGCACACCCATTGTGCAAACTACTCGTAAAGGAGTGCAATTTCAATTTTGATGATGCTTGTCTGAGAGAATTTGGAGAGTTGAAAGCAAGGTTAGTATCTGCTCCTATCATTATTTCACCGGATTGGGGGCAACCGTTTGAAGTGATGTGTGATGCGAGTGGGGTAGCGCTTGGTGATGAACCTTACTTGTTTCGTATTTGTGCTGATGGGATTAGTCGTCATTGTGTGCCCGAGGTTGAGATGATGAGTATACTGTGTGCCCTCATAGGTCTTTAGCTAGTGGATCAACCTAAGCTAATAGTTTGGTTCTACCTTAGGCAAGTAGGACAACCCCTTTTCGGTGTGGGGTAGAGACCAGATTCCATGGTAAGCTCACATGGTCTATGTTGGTTAAAGTTAATCCCACTATGATAATATGAACTAGAATATGAGTTATGAACTATAACTACTCAATAAGCTTTCCTTAGTGTGGGTAGGATTATGGGATCTTATTCATACATTGCACAAGGATATTTTGAAGGTATTTATGGTATGTTTCAAATATGATATGATGATCTATATGTTGAATATGCTTATGCATTATGCTTTTACACTAATTTTCATGATGAACTCTAAACTTGGTAAACTGCATACTTTTCAACTAAAATGTCCCTTTTAGCATGTTTTCAAGGATTTTATGCATGGCTATCATACTTAATGCATTTTTGTACTAACCCATATTTCTTCTACATTTTTCCACAAAGTGTAGGTTACGGTGTTTGAGGTGATCTTCCTTTAGATACAAGCTTGGATCGACTGTTCTCCTAGCTTGTGGTGAGTCCTCATGGATCCGAGGACGAGTGATATCTTGTTGTTCCTTTTCTTTCATTGTATTAGGCTTTCAAATTTCTATTGTAAGGGCAGTGACCCTATTTGAGACTTCGATTGTAATAAATGGCTAAATTAGACAATGTCTAGACTTCTGCTTTGCCTTTAAGAAAACTTCTTAAGACTTGAAATGTGCTTTTTACTCTTATTGTTCTAATGCTTTATGTTATGATATGCTAAGTGGCTTACATAGTGTCTTTAGGGGTATTATGTGCCATTTTACGTCTAGGGGGTACCCTTGGGTCGTGACAGTACTCTTACCTATGGAGGTGACCCACAGACAGTCCTTCCATCGATGGACCGTAGGTGCCCACCGTGGGTCGACAGTTTAGCTACTGTCCAGAATTTTTTTGAGTTTTTGTTTGGGTCCGATTCTTGTTCTAAAAATTTTCCATGAGTCGTTTTGAATTGTTTTGGTACTAACTAAGCCTCCATAAGTACCATGTCCCCCAAGCAAGCTCCAACCTATTCCGCTAAGGGCAAGTCCAAATTCATCGATTTTTCGTGACGTCTGATCATTCAGGATGACACTGATGACACAGAGTACATTTCTCCAACTACCAAGACCTCTCCCACTGCCCCGGCTCTACCAGGAACCGAGTCTAGCAGGTTCACTCCGACATAGTCATTACCCCCATTCTGAGGAGGGGGCCACATAGATCGGAGGATCGACTGGCTCAAAGTCGTTGTCTGACTCTAGTTCTAGTAGTACTATCGCCTCTTTAGAAGACTCAGATAGCTCAAGCGATTGCCTAACACCTACTAGCGTTGAGCCTGCTCCCAAGGATGATGAGCCTAACAGATAGTGTGTCCCGGGCCAGTATCAACTTTACATAAATGGCACAATGTTGAATGAGCACTAAAGGATGATCAAGACTATGACTGAGGAGCGCAGGGTCCTTACAGGCAGCCTCCATACTACACCGGCTATTGAGGAGCTCTTCCAGTGACACCTATGCGAGTGGATGGCACAGAACCTCAGGAAGTACAATGAGGAGATTACTAGGGAGTTCTATGCTTCTTATCTTGCTACCATCAGAAACTACATCGCTAAACGGTCCAATCCGATCGCTCAGCCTCCACTTAAGTCCACATTAGTGTGGGGTTTCACAGTCGACATATCTGAGGTCACCATTCCTAGCTTTTTATATGGCCCACACCACACTCTGCCTATCAATACAACAGAGTATGACTATCGGATGGGCATCATTCAGAGCGGGGAATTTCAGAGAGATGTCGAGCAGAGGGAGACACTGTTGACATTACTGGATCATCACATTGCTGAGGATAGGGAGCGTGATGAGTGGGTTCGGACTCCTCGCCTAGGTATTAGGAAGTTTACACTAAGCTTCCTTACGAAGTTCCTCTGGTTGCTGGTTCGAAATAGACTGTCCCCGTCTCAGGCAGATAATTGGTTACATGGGATCGGGCCATGCTGATTGCAACCATGATAGCGGGGTTGGAGATTGACTTTTCCTACATATTGATATTAGAGATCCATAAGAGGGCCTTCAAGGACACTATCACCTTGCCCTTCTCGCGTCTCATCTTCCAGCTCTACAGGGATGCTTCTATTCCCATTTGGCACTGTGACCGGTTTCTTGATGCGACCAAGACTCTGGATATCTCCCTCATTTGGGATAATGCTAACTTAGTTGCACCTCGAAGGGAACCACATGTAGAGGTAGCGCCTTTAGGTGATGATCTTGTTGTAGATGTTGAGCAGATGCAGGCCGATGACACCACCATTTTGGCCCTTACAGCAGACACTCAGTCTCCACTCTCTCCGGCTACCAGTCAGGCCCCTAGCTCATCCCGAGCCACTACCTCTTTAGGGTCCATTGTCGTTCCTCTAGCTCAAGTCCAGAAGTTAAAGACATAGATGACCACTTTGCTTCAGCATATGAATCCATGGATGCTACGTACTATTGCGGAGTCTGAGGTGAGGATGGAGATGATGATAGACTAGAAGGTTCAAGCCATTCATAAGCGTCTGGATGCCTTGGAGTTGAGATTCTTGGAGAGGCCATCCCCGACCATTGATGTGACCACCTTCCAGCAGAAGTTGGCTAGCCTCTGTGCTGATGTTGCTGCACTATTAGCCCCTACTGAGACTGACCCAGAGTATTCCCCTGTGGTACCGGAGGTTGAGGTGGTGATGACCGCTCTTTCTGGCAACACTATGCCACTACTAGACTCTTCCCGTAATGCTAGGAAGTGCCCTCGCTTCGACCGCACTATTGATACTGAGGAGGCTCAATGTTTGAAGAAGAAGGAGCGCCAACGTTTGAGAAGGCCCATAGGGCATCTATACTTTATGAATAAAGGACACAACAGTGGGCCCGTGAGGTGGATATTGGCCTATCTGGCAGTTTGAGCACTACTGAGGGTGCTACATTAGTTGATGAGAGCACTACTGATGGCGTTCCTAGAGTTGATCCAGCGGGCTCTGGGAAATCGGACCCACCTGCTTCTTGAGAGGTCTTCAGCATATGCGCCACAGGTTTGCTTCATCCTATATTTTACTTTTGATTTTTGTGCATTGGGGACAATTACACCTTATTTTGTTGGGACTGGGGTAAATGGATTGTGAGTGATAGGGTGAAGTTTGAGTAACCCAACTCATAATCCTCTCTTGGAGTTTTCTTACATGTGTTCTTTTCCCCCAAGAAACTGTTTTACTTTTATGTTGAACAGGCATGTTTAGGAATGTAGGTGTAGAAGTAAATAGAAGAATGAAAGCATGATGGCATAAAGAGAAGGAAATTGATACATGTCCAAAAGTTTTTAAATGCGCTAGATCTATAGGTTTGATGATTTGAATGTGTTGGATCTCAATATGACATGATAAGGAACCTGTTTGACTTCATGACTTAAGGTACAACTTGAACTGGGTAATCTAATAATCTGATAATGAAACAATGTGCCAAGTGTGTGTGAGAAAAGTTTGAATGTTCATACAGTGTGTGCCAATCTAGAACTTGCCCCGTTGGTCCTGCTAAGATAATCTAGGCTAGAAACTAGGAAATGATCATAGGTCCTTGTTCAAATAAGTCCACTAAAGCCTAAAATGATCCAACCAAATAAAATAAATGTTCCCCTTGATCCAAATGTTTGAGCCTAAAATAGACCACTTCTTTCAATACACCTAATTCATCTTCCTTTAAATAATTGGCTTGGCCCCGATCCCTCCTTGGACATGTGCACCTTGACTTAGGCCAAAAGCCTAAGTTGAGGGTGGCTAATTCAAACAAGTTACCTTGATCTTGGCCCTGGTCTGACATCGCATATTGTGCACCTCAACTCATGAAAAATACATAAGTTGAGGGTGTTTATGAAAAAGAAAACAAAAAGAAAAA